TTTCTGTCAATATGGGGTGCTGTGTGTACATTAATGAGGAAAAAAAAAGAACTTAAATGATTTTAGCATATGGTTGCAATATAACAAAGAGTGAAAAATTTAAGGGGGTCTGAATACTTTCCGTACCCACTGTATTTTCCATCACTCTTATTGAAGCTGTTACCTGAAAGCATTTAGCTGAAAAGGCTACAGCTGTTTCACAAGGGGAACCACTGTGACAGACAGACAGACAGACAAGTACCTGACACACAGACTGGACTGTGTGGTCCCAGGACAGTCTCCAGGTTCTGGATCTCTTTCTGGATCTTGTCTCTCTGAGCCAACAGACCTGCTGCAGCCTGGACACACACAGATCTCACTCAGTGCAAAAGCTTCTGTGTGTTCCTCCAAAGCATCACTACTCTACTACCACCTGTACAACACTACAGTACAGCAGCAGTGTACTGCTGCACCAACATGGTACCTACCATAAGAATGTCTGCTGAAATACTGTGGTAATGATACTCACTAAAGTACCACAGTCCAGCCTGACCTGTCTTTATGTTACTGTGACTGTTGAAGTCAGGCAGGTCTGATCTGGACTCACTGAGGTCTGTACTTCTATTCAGACATGTCACCATGGAAACCAAGGCATGTTTTTGGTGTGTTCATAATCTGTGTTATAAGTCCTTACCTGTCCCGCCTCTTCCTCAGTGTCATCATCATCATCTGACCAAAGACACACAACAACATTGTTAGAGACAGCCAGGTAAGAGAGAGAGACAGAGGTGGCTAGAAAGAGACAGAGACAGGTAGGTAAAGAGAGGGGTAAACAGACAGGTAGAGAGAAAGACAGACCGGTCAAGAGAGGGACCAATAGAGAAAGAGACTGGTACCTGTCTCGCTGCTCAGCAACTCCAGTTCAGTGTGTGTTACAGACAGACTCTGTTCCAGTTCCTCCACCTGTTGCTGGATCCTGTCTCTCTTTGCTGACAGAGAGAGAGACATGTCTGTGGAAACAGAGAGAGCCAAACAGGTCTGTGGACTGGACTAATTCAGTTCAGTCTGTCTTTAAAAGCTGACATCGTGCGTTTTTTTAATATCAAGAACATGGAAAAAAAACTACTCCTGTCCATGAGTGGGATGTGGCAGAAACAAACCCAATTTAAACATTCAAAGAGACAACCTGGGGAGGACAGGTGTGACAATGTATTTTTGATGTGGTAGCCCAAATTTACTGAAGGCATTTTATTATCAACCATCGTCTGAGTGCTTACATTTTTTTTCCTACCACATCCCACTCAAGGACAAGGGTAGGCTGTTTCCATGTCTCTGATATATTTTCCTCCTTTAAGAGCACCAGCGGTGCTGAGGGATCATTTTTCATTTCATCATTTTTCTCTTGTTTCCATTGATACGTAAAATTACTTTTACCATTATTTACACTGAGCTCACAGTTTTCACCATTTCCAATGGTGTGAACAGTCCGCATTTATACAATGTGATCAGAATATTAGGAACCCCCCTGAATATAATGCAGTCCAGTACAACACCATCCCCCACTACCACTGCAGTGCTAAAGATTATCCAACAGTGTCACCAGAGTCCACTCATCCATACAGGTGAGTGTGCATCTGGGCAGGTTATCCGGTTTATGGCCCAGCCTGGATTAATTAAACCAAGTTTGAAGAAAGGTCTGCCTTACTGGAAAAACATGGTTTAACACATGGTCAGCAGTAAAGTCCTATAGGTTCCTGGGCTCCACTATCTCCCAGGACCTGAAGTGGACATCCAACATCAGGACCATCACCAAGAAGCCACAGCAGACGATGAATTTCCTGCACCAGCTCAGGAAGTCCGCCCTGCCCTAGGAGCTGCTGATACAGTTCTACAGAGGAATCATCCAGTCTGTTCTCTGCACCTCCATCACTGTCTGGTTTGGCTCAGCAACCAAACAGGACAAGTACAGACTTCAGCGGACAGTCAGGACTGCAGAAAAGGTCATTGGTGTGAGCCTGCCCTCCATGGAGGACCTGTACACCTCACGGAGCAAAAGGAGGGCGGAGAGGATCACTGCACACCCCTCACAGCGCGGACACAATCTGTTTGAACTCCTCCCCTCTGGGCAGCGTTACCGGTCACTGTGCACCAAGACAACCAGGCACAGGAACAGTTTCTTCCCCCAGGCTGTCACCCTGATGAACACTTAACCAACGACAGTATGACTGGACAATAACCCTCAGTGCAACACCTGTAAATATATACCTTGTACATATCGATCTGTCGAATCCAGACTGTGTGTATATAGTACTTTATTTTTTACCCCTAAGACACATTCATTTGCTTGATTGCACATTATTTCTTTACTTCTGTTCTCAGCCTTATATTGGTTACTTACCCATAAGGCCATGTACATACGCATTGAGAGCCACTATACCAGAGTAAAATTCCTCGTTTGTCCAACACACCTGGCCAATAAAGCTGATTCTGATGATGTGCCTTCATAAACCCACTCAGTACTCTTTGAGCATAGCCCAGCTCCAGTACAGACGTGATGCAACAGTAGATTACTACAACCAGAGTAATATTAAACTGATATTAAACTGAGCAGTACGCTGTAGCAGTTTGAAGAATTGATCAAGTAACAAGCTTACAAACCGATTTTGATTATTTTCTGACCGTCAGCGACTTCCGTCTCGACCCCGGTGTCCGTCTCTTTGCTAAATATGCTCTTTGTCTTTATTTTGACTTTAATATCTTTATTTCCTATCTCCACGTGCCGATGACCTCCAATCAACGTAGCTCTATCGTTAACATACTACCCAGCAGGCTGTGCGACAAGAATTTTTCTCCTGCGATGTTTCACCCTCAGCTCGAGATTCGAGTTAAAACTTCCCGAAAAAAAAACAAAAAGGACTTTTATTTTACTGTCTGTTAGCTGATCAAGCTGTCTGTGGTTCGCTATAACAAACTCACAAACACTAAGAGTACTGCTCTGTCCGCTCGTTATTTGCTTCGCCCGAGCTCACTTCCGGTTGTCCAGCCATTTTCGTTCCGCCGAAACATTTGTACTTTATTGCGTTAATGGAAAATGCGCAATGCAATGTTTGATTTAAGATTGCTTCGACTATCCGGTTATTGCTTTAAATATGTTTACATTATTGTGTAAAAATCACCCTGTATTAAAAAATAAAACGCAACAATTCTGTATAAAACCAAAGTGGGCTACACACTCGTTTTCTGTTAGTATTTTATTTAGCTGCTCTGTATCTTCACAACATGTTCATCATAGCACAAAACATTGAACTGTATAAACATACTTTTAAACTAGATAAATACTTTTCTAATACTTTTCTAATTACAAAAATGCTTACAATGGTCAGAAACCAACCTGGATATTTGACGTGTTACAGGAAAATTTTAAGACAAAATCCTTAAAGATCAAACTACTGCTGTCAGCCACAAGCAGAAAAGTATTAACACTATTCAAAATAATAACACACCTAACATTTGATTGTTTCCAATTTCAGTCTTCTTCTTGATTTGATTTCTGAGTTCATGATAAAAATTGTGAACAAGCAGCAGTTTTCTAAAGTCTGGTTTCTGCTTCTGTACATTTTATATCTTTCAGACTAACTGGAAATACTGAAGGAACAGATGACAAACAGACCATAATTTTCATGTTCCAATATGTCGTACTCATAAATGAAGACGACTTTTGGATGAGAGGCGAAATGCATGAATAGAAAATCAACAAACTGTTTTATTGGCAAAATCCAAGTCAGCAACAGTGATATGTACCAGCTTTAAATGTAGAACTTGTCCTCTCTCAGAATAACTACTTTTCTCGTTTTTGCCTCCTGCTCAGTGTGTGGGTTCAACATACTTCTTTTACACTTTGTATGATCTGTGACAGGGTGTGACTGTCCTGGTTCAGGACTACAACACAGCGGAGCCTCTGTACCCACTTCACTGTAGTTCTCACTGCCCTGCTGAGACCACAGTCTGACACCAACTCAGCTTTAATATGAATCAACAACCGGTGTTCATCTGAAAATGTGTTCAAGTTTAGAAAATGTCAAAATAAAAGAACCATGTTTTCCTGTTCATGATATTTTTGTTTCTACTCGCTTCCCATTATTTTTTAAGTCCAATAGTCAGGTGTCTGTAAGACCACGTAAATAGGCCTTTATTGCCATCACACTGAACACAACCTCTCTCTAATGTGTTTCAGTGTGAGAGGCTCCGCTCTGTGCTCAAACACATTTATCTAAAGCCCTTATGTGCAAGTTAGCCAGGCCACAAGAATCTATTCCAAAGGTGTCTGTCTCCACTGCAGCTCCGCATGGAGACCAGGACACAGATTTAGATTCTGTTCAGTCAATGTCCATATAAAACTTGGCACACATTTAGCCTTCGATCACTTCCACAAAAATAATTTATGATGAGGAAAACACACCCTGTCACACAGTCACCTGTCTCTCTCTTTGTGACGCTATCGGAGGCGGTACAGGATGTCCCAGGAGTCTCTCCACTTCAGTCCTTGCAGCTGATTGGCTGAGAGCTCAGGGCTGCCGTATGTCAAAGGGCAGAAGTTTCGATAGGACAGGAAGACCGACAACAACCCGGCCAACACACACATGCACAACGCTTGCCGATGTGTCACACTGCTGCAGACAGACAGAAACAGTGTATACATGTCAAACAAAATTTTATCAACACCTTTTCACTAATTCACATCTGTACATTAGCATGACTTCCTGCTCTGCTGCAGTAAAAACCCCAGAGCACCTGGAACCCAGATCTTAAAGCACTTCACAGAAACCATGTGAACACTTAAGACTGTTACTCTGCTCTGCCTGCTGGGCTACAGGTTTACCTGTGACCAGTAGTAATATCAAGTTGAATGAACTAATTTGTGAGTTAATCAACATGAATTTGGTGCTGCTGCATATCTATACTGCAAGTGTGTGTTTACCTGAGCAGGTGAGTATGTGTGTGCTCCAGCAGGGCGGGGCTCAGAACGTACAGGTAACACAGAGCAGGCAGGAGTTTTCTCCATCAGCAGAAATGGAACAAAGTTCACCAACCAACCACCGACACACACACATCCCAGACACACAAACTGACTCCACACACCTGAAAACACAACACATCACACAGGAAGAGACAAGACTTAGAACCTCATAACTAAAGAAACACCTTTATATTCAGTTATTACATTCATCAAATATGTCGGTTCACAGGCTGAGAAGACAAAAACACATCAGAGTGGTGACTCTTCCCGCAGAGAAACATCTCTGTTCTCACCTTGTGACTCGCCTCAGTGCCCTATTTTTGTTTATGTGGATGAAGGTTTTCTTGTAAATTTAAATTCTTACTTCCATGAAATTCTGACTTTAGATTTAATTCATTCTTATGTGTTGATAGACAAAAGATACATTTTATTTTGCTTACAGCTGTGGGCATCATTCGGCATTGGCCCCTCACAGACCGGTAACAATAAACACAGGGTCATTGGAGAGACCAGGACGTTTCACATGCACTCGACATTTATGGACAAAATTCAGATCAGTCCAAACTGGAAGGAACATATCGTAACCCAGGGGTTTGGGAGGAAACTGGGTCATTTGACCATCACACACACGACATGGTTGTTATTCCTGTGTATATGTGGCTCACATTTCACTTACATCTGTGCATGTGTGACTGAAGGCACCCTGCAGGACGGTTTCGCCCATGTGAACATTCCCACTCGGGGCAACAACACTCTGGATCATGTTTACAGGGCTGGACCTGGGCATCCACATCAGTGAGGACCTCACTTGGACACTTAACACCACACAGCTAGTCAAGAAGGCCCAACGGCGGCTGTACTTCCTGAGGAGGTTTGGCATGTCGCCTAGGATCCTCAGCAACTTCTACAGCTGCATCATTGAGAGCATCTTGACCAGCTGCATCACTGTCTGGTATGGCAGCACTACTGCTATGGACTGCAAGCACCTGCAGAGAGTGGTAAAGACTGTGGAGAAGATCACCAGGACTCCACTGCCCTCTCTGCAGAGCATTTACCACCGCAGGGTGCGTAGGAAAGCTGCCTCCATCCTCAAGGACCCCACCCACCCCCAGCACGGACTGTTTTCCTACCTACCCTCTGGCCGGAGGTTCAGAAGTGTGAAATGCAGGACCTCCAGACTGAAAAACTCTTTCTTTCCCTCTGCCATCACACTCCTAAACAGCTGAGGAGTTTATTACCAGGAAATAAGTCATGTACTGTTTACATTCTCAGTTTGCACATGCATAATTGCACATTGACTGTTGACTGCTGCACATGCTGCTCCGATGCAGCATACATTCTCTTATTATATTCTTATATTTTTATCATACAGCTGCATTTGCTGCTTAAAGTGCCTTCGATTTTGTGTTATTTATCTACTTTACATTTCATTTGTATTTTGTGGCATTCATGTGGACGGCAAAGTAAGAATTTCATTGTACAGGGAAACACGTTTCCTAACTGGGCATATGACAAACACTTTGACCTTGACCTTTGACCATGTGGCAGTTTAGGAGCTCAGCGGTGTTCACACCGGAGCCGGGTACATGGCCCTGACACACATGGATGGGAAGCAGCAACACAAGGTCGGAGCTGAGCGAGACATCAGAGCTGACTGCTAAGGCCTGAAACATGTACCATCAGTTATGTCTTTTAAGCCCCGTCTCCTTCTCAGCAGGTAGACAGCTGCCAGCAGCTGATAGGCCAGTAGGCTGAGGGTGGCCACACCCCATGACACTGGGTTACCGATCAGATGGATCTGAGCCTGAAACACAGACAGAACATGCTGGACAAATTTTGTTCAGTGCCCACATTGTGAGGACAATTCTAGAAAGACACCACCGTGTGTGTGTGTGTGTGTGTGTGTGTGTTACATTGGTGGATGGGTGCAGCCAGTATGCGATGTTGGTTTCCATGGTGATCCACTCTAAGGGGGAGGAGCTGTATTTGTGTTCAGAATCCTTCTGTTTCACCATCAGCATCTTCCACTGTCATGACATCACAACCTGACATCAGCCCGCTGCTATAGCAACAATATGACATCACTGTTTACAGAGGAAAACAACATCAGGTGCTGCTGTGGATAATGAGCTGAGTTCCCTCGCATCAAAATCATAATCACAAGGCTTCGTGTTTAGTCTGTGAAGGTGTTTACAAGCATTAAACTAGTTTGTTGCCCAAGAACCACAGCGTCTGGGAAACTTTAGCTCTGTGTTCTTTACTCAGCATATTTTGTTCACCAGTCTGTAATGTATCCCTTTCCTCACCAGGTTTACACTTGTTCTTCCATGTTCAGTCAAACGATTATAAACTTCTGTTGTGTCAATGCCAGTTTTGACAGCTGAATTTCATCTCGCTTGTCTTTTGAGGAAAAGGCATGTTGGTTTTAGTCAAATGTTAAGTCTAGTTTTAGTCAATAAAAACTAAACCCATTTTAGTTGTGCTTTAGTCATTTATAAAGTGCATTTTTAATATTTACAGCAGGTACATCTTCTTCATCCCGGTTGTGGACAGTCACCATGGTTACACGTGTTGTTCCCATCTGTCGTGAAGTTTGTGGGAAACTGTTTTATTTCCACAGTGTCGCTCTGCAGAAGTCGGACTCGCTCACATTTGGACTAAAATCCCCTTCAGTTAGTTCAGAGGCGACTGTAAATCGTCAGATAACATTAAAATAGTGAGTTTCTGCAGCGGCCATGTAGAGATGACTTATGGCCGCCTGTCCACATTAATCCTGGACCTGAGAGGAGTGTTAACATTATAGCACCGTCCACAGCGGTTCATGGCACGTTATCCTGCCGCTCCATGTGCTGCGCTGCTGCGGTTTCCCAGCGCGTTCTAGCGGTTTGTGTGCGTAATTCTCTGGACTGTCGATATGATCCATGAACCTGTTTTTGCCAGAACACGCTACCGCCGGAGACAGGACGTTACTGAATGTAAGACGGTGGTGAAACATCCAGAGGCTAATTCAGCTCCGGAACCAGAGATTTTGGCCTGTAGAGGAAACTGTTTCACTGGAGGGCCTACAGTTTGTGACTCCACAGATACGGCAGGTCATTAAGTCATCTCATGTCTGTTCATCCATCTTTCACATTATCGATTTTATTTCGTTGACGAAAAATGTTAAACATTTCTCCTTATCAAACGTTTACATTTAGTTTTAGTTTCGTTTTCATCCTGAAGAATAGGTCGTTTTCTGTCATAGATTTCGTTAACGGAATTAACACTGTGCAGCACTTTTTAATGAAATGTAATGTGACAAATCCAGAGGTAAAGGTGTGATCTGATTGGCTGACGGAGCGATGATGCGTTCAACTACATACCTGAAGTTCAAAAAACTTTGCCCAGAATGAAATTTTTCTGTCAACGTCAATGTGAGTAGGAGAATGAAGCTCCGCCTCCCTCTCCTTCTGCTCCTGACCTGCACACACACACACACACACACATTCAGTGGTCAGTTTATTAGGTACACCTACCAACAACTAAGTCAGTCTAACCCAACAGTTTGGCATCAAATCCTCCTCCCTCCTAAATCCACCACAAACACCAGAACCAGCTCTCTGTGCAACACACTCCAGTTGAACAGCAGCGCAAACTGCAGCCTCCACAGTGATCACACAGAATGAACATTATTACCTTCATGGAGGAGGATTTGCTGCAGGACTGTTTGATTAAACTGATTCAGTCAGACATGGGTGTTCCTAATAAACTGACCACTGAGTGTGTTGCGTCATATCACAGGGCTGATGAAGCTAAAGACGTAAAAGCAGTCTGCCTCACTCTGCCTCGGGGGTACATGACATCTTCATAGCAGAGCTCAGCTGGTCATATTAAGACCAGACTCTACAATTTCTACCTGAGTCAGTTCTTAGTACCTCTTCACTGCTTTTACTGCTGCACTGTGGGATAGCTTGAGGTCACTTTATATGTAGGTCAAAAATTCCCATAGTTTTGTAAAACGCTGTCACACAGACAGTAAAACATCTGTATTCATTAAATATAATAAATGCTTGGTGACATTTGGTAAATGACCAGCTTCAGACAAGTGATCAGGAGAGGTGTGAATATGAATCAACAGAAACCTGTGAAGGTGTCAGTGTAGTTTCAGTTCACATTTTAGACTAAACACAGATGATTCTGTGCTTTTTACTGAGAGTGGATGACACAGAAAGTGACAATAATCCAGGCATAGATACAGTATGTTTAAGTGGCTCAGTAGCACACTGAACGGGTCTGATGTTGGACACAGACTCTGTCTTTGTGGTTGGGGCTGTGAGGTCAGGTCGTACTGGTTCCATAACGGTGCTCCTCCACTGTCCATCCCAAACTGCTGCTGTGAGCTTTAAACAGTTTCTCTGCTACAACCTCCAACTGATGGAAACCCCAGTCTGGAAGGGACATACCGCTCAGCTACACACACACAGACAGACACACACACACACACACACACACGCGTACGTACACACATTACTATGTCTTTATAAGGTCACTTAGTTCAGGTGTGTCATATGGTCACTTCTGGTTAATACCTTGAGGACAGCTGAGGTGTTAATGTGAACTAATCGGACCTCAGACAGGATGGTCTTCCACACTTCTGACTCCACCTCTCTGTTAGTGACATCCTGAACACAAAGACACACACGTTTGTCTTAACTCATGTCACTGACAAAATGCATGCCCTAACCCCTAACCATAATCCTACCCCTACACCTGATTCTCACCTGAACCCTAAAATCAGGTATTAAGGGTAACTACACCCTCAGACACAGCTAGCAGCCTCTCTCCCAGCAGAGGTCATGTAATAAATGATGGAGGGTCGAGGTCATAGGGAGACTGAGCATGCCCAGTGCAGCAGTCGGTGTATCTGAGGTAACAGCCACAACCTTCCTGTTCTCTGCTGGACACTTGGGGAGTCTGGTGGAGCTCAGACAGTCTCTACATGTTTCTGTCCCTATGAGAGTTGCAGGGTGGACACCTGTGCTGGAGCTGAACTAGCAGCTCTGCTACGAGAGGAGTGTCAGCACGTAGCCGTAGCCATGTTGTTTATCATGTTGACGTTACTTTTCGTTACCACTGAACCTCTGGTTCAGCTCTGAATAGAGCAGAGACACCAGCAGGTCTGTATGCTGTGTTTACTGCCTCTGCTGAGGAGGAAGCCTCGCTCATAGGCACCAGTATTCAGCTCAATTTTCAGGTATTTTCAGAGTCCTGTCTACATCCTCACGGTACAAGAGCTGGAGGATTTAGATAAACGTTCAAATCCAAACTGACAAACTATCAGAAAACACAGTTCGCCCACTGTATGAGAACTCTGTATCGTGGTCGTAGGCACTAGAAACAGTTTGGGGTGTACTTAACTTGTACCACTCAAACAGCCCTTGGAAGGTATGAGGAGCAGCCAAAATGTCTTCACAGTGTAAAAATGTCCTCACAGATCTAGCAACACAACCCCACATACAGTCCTCACAACTCAGGTCCAGTAACAGACCGAGCTCTCGTGTATTATGTGGTGAACTTTCAGAGGTTACAGGATCATACCCTGATATTAACCAGGATTATAACCTGGCTTGAGGCCTCCAGGTATTTGCAGTACTACAGACTTACAGCTTGCTGTCTGTTGCTAATAACACAAACACCAGATCAGATCTTGTGCTTACCACCCTCCACAGGTTCTGAGCTGGCATGGAGACATTGAAGTCGATGTATCCTGAGACTTCCTGAGCATGAGGACTCATGGGAGCTGCCACGTCATGGCTGAAACACACAGGTAAAAAACACACACAAAGGAATGTTACAGATGTGTGTAGAAATCTATCAGTCATTTTTACTTCCACATGCAACTACATAACCTCGAAAAACTGGAAACATTCAGAGGCAACATAACGCTCAAGCTCCTGCACTGTTTTACATGTTGGACTGTCTTTGAATGCACCACAGCAGTCATCTGTTTACCTGTTTAGGTAGCGCGAGGTCATACCATGAACCAGCTGGATGACATCGCCATGACGGACAGGTTGAGGAGGACTGTTGACCACCAGCTCCTGTCTGACACACAAACACAGGTGAGACAGGCACATCATCTCCGAGCATGCACTGGGGCAGAGAGGTGACCTACCTGCCAGGGTGTTTGATGATCCACCAGTTGTTGACATCTTTGAAGGGATAACAGGTGACCTGCTGCTGGTGGGAGCTGCCATGCCCATTTTCATACCTGAACACAGTAACAGGAAACCAGAAGTCATGTTAGTTAAACTCCACCTGAGAGGTTTCTGATTGGCTGCTGTGGTAGTGTGAGCTGCAGCACCTGATTGGGTAGTTGGTTTTGTGTGAGTGGAGCCAGCAGGGAACAGGCTGAGAGGCAGAGCTTCTTAGAGTAACCTGACTGCCATAGGCGACTTCCAGTGGCTGCCCCTGAGTGATCCTGGACAGACCGCCCTGAAGACGAAGACAGACACAGAGCCAACCAATCGATCACTTGATCAACAGGGCCTGGGTCTTTGAGCAGCGTAAACAATGTTATTTGTCACAGCTGAGACAGGATCCTAGAGGTGAGCAAGACTGAGGTGTTTGTCCCTCTTTAAGGGTGTGGTGAAAGCATCTAAGAAGCACTGGCATCAGTTCTGGTTTGAATGTTTTGTACCATTCTGCACTGACACCATCTGACCCAGGTGGTTTGTTTGCCTTCACTCAGGAACCAGCTCATCTGCATTGTCAACTTTCCCTGATTTTCTCCTATTGAGGGAGGATCCAGAGAATTCAGGAATTGATCAGTTACTAAGGAGTCAGGTTTGTTCACTTGGGTATATAGGTCCTTATAGTAAATCTCAAAAGAGTGTTTATGACGCATCTTACCATTTCTTGGGTTTCGTATTTTAGAAGTGGTCTTTCAGCCTGTTGTTCGCCTATTTTCCAAGACCAAAGTTTTATAATTTTGGGACTAGTTTTATAATATTGTTGTCCAAGAAGCCTCAGTTTTTTCTCATTTTCTTCTGACTTCTGAGCTCCCAGGTAAATTGAATGCAGCATGTAGCTCCCAGAGGGACCAGCTGATCCTCCAAAATGACCACTAGACCCACAACAAGTGTCTCAGTGGCCACTAGGAACAACTGCTGTGAAGGTTCCTGCCAGCGCAGAACACCTCTCTCCTCTGTGTCTACACGAGAAGTGAAAAATGCATTTAGATCTGATCCACCCTACAGTCTTCACGCCGAGTCTGAACTCTTACCCTCTGGTTCAGACTTCCAAAATGCAGACTCTGTAAGAACTCACTTGTCCCAATGTCCATTATCTAAATTAGCAGCAGTCGAATGTTGTAATGGTGGGAAATGGTCACAGAACCAGCTGGATGACACTACAGGTAACATGTACATGGGAAATGTTTTATTGTTGGTTCATTAGGCACAATGTGTAGTGGAATACTGTTTCACTGGTTGTTTTAAGTGATTTGTGCATTTACATCTTCTTAAGGGGCTGTACAACCACCTATATGACCACTTGCACCACCTCAGGGACAGTATACGCACATCACTGTGCATCTCTGTGTGTGGAGGGTGTGTACCTGCAGACTGGCCTGGAAGGCGGAGCTCATCAGCTGGTCATGTGGTCCACTGCGGTTCAGGAGACTCAGGTGAACGTAGAACCAGAACACGTAGAGCAGGAGAGGAACCGCCACCAGACACACAACTCTGCACACACACTGCACACACACACTCACCTGTGCACACATGCATGTGCACGCGCACACACACACACACACACACACACAAACTTCATATAATGTACTGATTTCTTGTGAATGCGTTCAAGGACAGTCTGACACTCCGATATCTACTGCTGGAAAATAAGCATCACCATAAACGCTGTGAAGTGTGAACTCTTTGTGTTCAGCAGCCAGCTGTAAATCTCAGACATCAGAGTGTTCCTGAATACACCAATCAACAGCCACACCTGCCTCACCTGATCACATCACCTGCACAATAAAATAAAGCTGGGACAGACCATCTCTCTGCAGGAGGATTTTTGAAGACCTGACTGAAACCAAACTGATCAATCTAAAACCTCACTGATTATGTGGAAATTTCAGAGTGACTCAGTGTGAATCTGGACTCACGTGACTGAGGGTTTGGTCTCCAATCAGGGTCCAGGTGTGCAGAGAGGCCATGCCCAGCAGCAACAGGTAGGAGAATGCGCCCATGTACTTTACCCTGGTGTCACACACATGTAAAAACTGTTTGTGTACCACAGAAGAAGAAACAACTCAATCTGACACATCTCCACAGGTCAGAGGTCAGTTTCTCACCCAATGGCTGCAGCACACGAGGCTCCAGAGAGAAGCAGCCAGCTGTACCTGAACCAGGAGCTGAGGAGGAGACCAGAAGAGCTTTCGTGAAACTTCAAGTGTCAAAGCCAGCTTCCTGTCACAGAGGTCAGACAGTAAAGGCTGCTCTCACCTGTTGGGAGCATTGTGGAAGCGCAGGTATGAGAAGAAGGCCAACAACATGAAGAAGATGAGAACAGACTCCAGCAACATGAAACGTGACTGGACGATCAGAGAGTTGTCTGGTAAACAACAAACAAAAATACTGAATCAGCCACACGGTGTGGAGCTTGGCTTCACAGGTGACCCTCAAGCCCAGATTCATACCTGACCCAGGGTTTGACATTAACCATGGCCTGTGGTCACCAAATGTTACTGTGTGGTCATCATACAACCCCAGCAGGTGGCCCACTGTGGCCACCAAGATTTATTAGATGTCTAGTTAGGATGAGACTACATGTCTCAGACCCCCCTGCACTTTGCCAACCCAACTGGGGGCGGCTGTGGCTCAGGAGGTAGAGCGGGCCATTTCCTAACTTGAGGATTAGCGGTTCAATTCCCGGCTTCTCCAGTCAACATGTCGATGTGTTCTTGAGCAAGACACTGAACCCCCAGTTGCTCCTGGTGATGTCACCAGTGTGTGAATGCATGAGTGCTTGACAGTGCGATTGGGTGAATGGACTAATAATGTGAAAGTGCTTTGAGTGTGCTGTAAAAGCGTAGAAAGGCGCTATACAAGTATAAGACCATTTACCAACATTAACACCCTGTTTCATCTTTTCCATTAGGAACCCACCCAAATGTGTTGCGCTGAGTGACGCTCCTCACAGGTTCTCTCTTTGTTTCCACTATGGTGCGCCCACTTTGGAGGTGCATTCTGGGAGCTAAATGTCAGCCCCCCTCAGGAGGCCATACTAAAATCAAGTGCCAGGAACATGAGGGGGTTACGCTCAATGATGGTTAAGGGACAGGGTGTACCGCTCGCTACGTTCCCATAGTGGAAATGCAGCATAAGGTTACTTGTTGCCGATTCGCTGCCATTATGTCGAGGCTGATGAAGTATGAGTTTACTAAGTCTAATCAAACTTCTACCACAATCGCTACAGAAGAACCAGAAACACATAAGGTGGACTATGAATAAATGGCAAATGTAGGAGGGAATGGAAGTAGGAGTTTCAGTGGCTAGAATATAACATGTAACTATGTGATGCACTGCGGTGTACACAGGACTGACGTGGAAATGATGCTGGGAGAGAGGGGGGCAAAAGAGAGCAGGTATGAGGTGGCGGAATGGGGAGCTGCAAAAGAGAGACTGAACTTAGAGACAGAATATATGTATGTTTACAAATTAAAAGATTTTCAGTTTAAACAAACAGTCACATTTTCATTCTGTTAATGTCTTTTCATATATTGAAGTGTCCCAGTTAAGGAAGGCTGTGCTAAGTTGCCTTTTCTGCATTCTTTCTACAAATGATTACATTTGTGCCACCAAATTCAGGGGCTTGGTGGTCCATGGAGCCAGTTCTTATAAATATTAGTCTCTATCCCTGATGAACACTGAGCCCTGTCGTTATGCTAACAGGGGGCCTCCTGCGTGTTGTTGCTCACCCAGCAGCAGCAGCAATGCAGCTCCCAGAGCTGACAGGTGAGAGAACTGCAGCTCCAGAGTCAACAGGTAAACCAGAGGGACACAGAGAGCTCCACACAGAGCTGGCAGCAGCCGCAGACTCCATACGCTGACACTGCTGGGATACTCTGTACAACACACACATCCACAGTGTTATAGTGGTTGTAAGCCAGTGTAGACTGGACACAAACTGGTTTAACCTATAAAGCTTGAGGCAAATTTTTAAAATTTCCACCACTGATCTGTGGATCAGTAACATCTGGGAGGATTTAGAAACAGTCTGCCTCTCTGCTCCCTCTGCCTTGTCACCGGGGCAGAGGGAGCAGCCTGATGAAAACCACCTCATAATAACGAGCCGGAGACACTGATGCCGTTGGACCTGTTTTAAAGTTCTGAGCTGCAGCTCTGCTACATGTGACACAGTAGACATGAAGTACAACAATGTAGTACTATCCATTTTAGCCAAATGGTTTCTTTGGGGAGAAACATGTTCCACACTTGGTGACCTTAACATTTTAAAACCAGATCCAGTCTGGTCCCAGTACCAGCATCACTGGTGGAAAGGATTAAACAGATGTTCCTACCTGCTCCGATTCTATTCCACACAAAGTTCCCATCAAATCCTCCCAGGTAGGCTGCAACACACACAGGCACACACACACACTGATGAATTATATACAGTGACAAATGGGACAAACTATATAAGCTGAGTAAGATGTAACCGCCACGGTAACTGACCTCCGAGGGCCAGGATCATGTGACCAAGCGGTGGTCCACTGTCATCAACGAAGAAAACTCTCTTCATGTAGAGAGACACAAACTGACCGTAATACACCTCATCAAACCTACACACACACACACACACACACACACACACACACACACACCAGATGTCAGAGCTCCTGAATAGACCAGAGGTCTTACAACTATAGAAAATATACTGTAGTTTGCTGTAAATGCATGGAGGATGCCTGGGTGTAAGAAACTAACACACTCACACCACAGCACTGGGGTAGCTGAGGTGGTTCAGTCTGGTCCAAAAGGCCAGCAAGGAGACCAGCACCAGGACTAGGTCCACCTGGGCCGTCACCACCAGGGGGAGCTGCAGCATCACCGACACCCTGCTCAAAGTATCAGTGTGTTCTTTTGTGTGAGAATTCCTACTCACAAACATTAACAGACAAAATTTCATTTCGTTTTCTTTACTGAACTATTACACACAACACGGTGGGTTAACTGTGGTTTAAAAAAATCCTGGGCATGTGTCTGAGTGGCAAGAAAAGACAATCAAATAAATAAAATACTTTTAGAAACAGAAAATACAATTGTTTGTTTTCATTCAAATATGCTGTAACTCGTCTGTCTATTCATGTTTAAACTGTGTTACCTGCCGCACAGGTGGGTCTCACTGACACAACAAGACATTGACCTACATTAAAACTGAATTGCACACGAATGAAGCCTCGCGGCTTTAAACCTGCAGCGAAACAATGGGAACAACCGTTTTAGTCGAACATCGGCTGATGCTCACACAAACTGGAGCTACCCGTTAGCCTGTAGCTATCACAAATCCCGCTACATTAATGCTAACTATGCGGAAGCTCACCTGACATCGACTATATGTCGGTAAACCTGTCAGTTCCCCTCCTCCAGTAGGCAGCAGCTTTTCTTGTTCTTTTTTTTCTTCCTCTTCTTCCTTCTTCGTCTTCTGAGGTCTTAAAACTGTTGACACGCGAGGGTTAATGTCGCATCACCGCCACCTTCTGTTTGTGTTCCACGTCACCACCCGATTACTCAGCTCTTCTCCGGCTTGTCTGCCGGTGGCTGTTTGTAGTGGCCGTGTTTGATTAACCCCCTCTGGCGTGGATCCGCTCGGACCTGCTGCACCCGCACCATCCTGTTACATCCGAGGTAACTGTTACCACAGAGTAAGCAGTTGCTTTCTTCCGGTAAGTTTTAGTTTAAAAATAATTTAACATCTGAAAATTGAAAATGTTTTATTGTTTTATCGAATTGTAACATTGTTTGGTTCTGGTGTTTAATTTTAATCCCCACCTTTCTTTTCACATTTCATAAATCACTGAGTGGGGCCAAAATGCATTTCTGATCTCCTTGAAAAAGATCCTTCCCACAATTCTGACAGACCATCTGCTACAGTGGCTTTAGAAACATCTGTGAGACCTCATTTATACTTGGACTACTTCTCTCCCATAGATCTTTCTGAGTTGACCTCAACAATTGCTTCATCTAAATCATCAACATGTCTCCTGGACCCCATCCCGACCAGGCTGCTCAAAGACGTCTTTCCCCTAATCAACACATCCATACTAGATCTGATTAACCTCTCTCTATTAACAGGTTATGTTCCACAGGCTTTTAAAGTTGCAGTAATTAAACCTCAACTCAAAAAGTCAAGGACTTGTCTCCATACTTGTCCTCTTAGATCTCAGTGCTGCTTTTGACACCATTGATCACAGCATCTTACTGCAGAGACTTGAACATGTTATTGGGATTAAAGAAACTGCACTAAGTTGGTTCAAATCTTACTTATCAGAAAGATTTCAAATTGTTCATGTTAATGATGAATCTTCAACACAAACTGAAGTTAGTCACGGCGTTCCACAGGGCTCTGTGTTAGGCCCAATCCTCTTCACTTTATACATGCTGCCTTTAGGCAATATTATCAGGAAGCACAGCATAAATTTCCATTGTTATGCAGATGATACTCAGTTATATTTATTTATGAGCCCAGATGAATCAGATCAGTCAAACTTCAAGCATGTCTTAAAGACATAAAGGCCTGGATGACCTGTAACTTCTTACTTCTAAACTCTGATAAAATCAAAGTTATTGTACTTGGGCCTCTATGTAATGATTTTTGAGATAATTTGAGATGATTTTTCTTGTGAATTGTAGCTATGCAAATAAAACTGAATTGAAACCCAGCAGGGCTCTGAGATCTCTAGGAAGCAGTCAATGGGTAGAACCTTGGGTCAGAGCCATAAATGGATTTTATGAAGAGCTGAATGACCCAGGGCACACACTCACCAGTGGGCTCATAAAGGAACCTATAAAACCACACCCAGCTCTCTCTCTCTCTTTTCTGGTTTAAAACAGTCACTACTATATTCTGTAAGGACAGTTTTAATATTCTGCAGTGGATGATTCATTTTCCTTTCCCTCTCTGTTCTGGTGCACTGTAGTGTTCCTACAGTGCTGTCTGTCAGGTACCCCTTGAAAGGGCTTGACCTTTTGTGTTGCTGTAGCCAAATTTTGCACTCAAGTAAATTTTTGAAAAACTAAGTGAAAAAAACTTTTTAAAATCTATTTAATAGCCTAAAGAGTTTCATATATACAGTTAATAATTATAGCCTAGTTACATAAGTTAAGGCAGGAAAAACCTTTTTTGGGAGTCTTGTCCTGTGTCTAATTTTTCAGACTTGTGTTTGCTGGGACAAAACGGAAACAGATGCGCATCCACAGCTGGACATTAAGGTTTCTTTGAATAATGGAATAAATAACTCATTATGTTGGAGCTGAACCAGGCATCTTTGAGAACCACAGAGCTAGCCAAATGAAAAATCTGTGTTTTGTGTATGGGTTTCTGGGAGCTAAGCAGTTTCAGGTCACTGTAGGTTAGACTACTAACCTGTACCACACAGGGGAGTTTTATGCTTTATTTATTGATTAGGCATTTTTATTAATTCAGTGACTAAGCAAGAGGGCAGGAAGCCCACAAACTCTGTTGCATCATTGTCCTGATTACATAGAATGTTACAGTAATAACAAGGCTGTGATTCTGTTCAGTAATAATACCATTATAAATGTTGGTATACCATTGATATAAAATTCAATATTATCATAAATAAATTCTCCTTTTCCTTCATTTACAAGTGCCCACACAGAGATATTCAGGAGAGAGCTATGCTATAAACAATACAAAAGAATAAATTAATAATTAATAAATGTATGTAGCCTCATGATATACATCCCTATGACATCGACCTTCCCAAAGGTTTCTTTTCCACATGGAGCACTTTCCTCAGGTTTAAGTGTCACTTCACAAACAAACCAAGAAGATGCAGACACACTACTCACTGTGCTCCATGGACCCTGAAACTGGCATTAAATCACTTGCTTATTACTGATCATTGTCCCTATATACAGTAAACAGGCTGACACCCCCCAGAAGTGAAGTCACGGTCGATCGTCCTCTGGTGGCTGGCTGCAGTATAGGCCATAAACCCCGCCCCCTCCGTGTTAGTGGATGGGACATGAGCCAAACAAAAAACGCACAGTACAACTCAGATATATGTTTCCTAGAGGTCACCTTTGTGTTTTTTTTTTTGGTGTAAATGTTCATGCTGATGTGTGTAGTGGTTGTTAATAAGTTATTTGATTATATAAAAAGAGGTGTATTTCAGATGCTTTGACAGCTTTGATTGATGGTCTGATGCCATCACTCAACTTCGGTCACTACTGCGCAGTGTCTGGTTGCAAAAAGAAAGATGGCTGCTACAGCGTTCACAGTATTTTGGCTTCACTTTTGATAGTGGAGGAACGAGGTGATGCAATGTCCATCTTTATATACAGTCAGTGGAACATTTAGATGGCAGAAGGTGAGATGACACATGAGCAGTGATGTTTATTGGATTATTGCTTTGGATACAAGTGCAGATCTGAAGTCAGATACAGGAACACCTGCCTGGACTGGAAGTTAGGCCACATTAACTAACACCAAGCTAGCGCCTAGCTAACCTCAGCTAGTATCAGGCTAGCTTGTTTGCATAAACACAGTGTGGTCCAGATATTGAATAGTCCAGACTGGCATGGTTTAGGCATGATCCCTGTTTATAAACAAGTTTTCAGCAAGTCCTTTTTTCTCTGATATATCAGCACCAGTCTAGTCCAGTTTGGTGCCAGTTTAGCTCAGGGTAGCACCTCATTCCATATTCTGAACATGTTACATCAAGCTAGCACAGGTTAACCCAGGTTATGTCCTGGTTTAGTCAGTTTGAACCTGTCATCTCTGATTTGCTCGTGGGGCATTTCGTGGGCGGAGCCTGAGAGAAAGTTCCCACAATGCTTCCTCTGCCAGGTGATCACTGAAGTCATTAAAGAACGATATGATGTCATCATTAGGCTGCAGAGAGTAATGTCTGCAGAGAGAAACAAATTCAGGTGTTCATTTAGAAAGTAAGTACTAAGAAAGCCAGTAATACAACTAATTATAAGAGTAAGAATAGTACTGCATGCAGGTAACTGACACTTGCTGGTAGCTCCTCAGAGTGTCCAGGATGTTGAACTGCTGCCAACGTTTAGAGAAGTTGACATTGGAACCCTGTGATGTCATTAAGGTGTCAGGGTTACCCAGGTGGACAAAGGTCAAGTCCTGAAGAATTAAACCCCTGAACAGATAGGCAGGTCAAAGAGAGAGACAGGTAAACAGTAGTGGAGGAGTTTTCAACTAATCATGACCCAAGGACCACCATTCTGACTAAGAAGTAACATGAGGACCACTGCTGTAGGGTGGATAGACCAGATGGGTACTACTTAGTTGATGAATGTACGATGATAGAACTTTAATACACGGTATTGACCTACAGGTAGGGTGTATACTGTATAGTGGGTATACAGGGTAGTGACCTACAGGTAGGGTATACAGGGAGGTTCCACTTCAGACAGAGCTGCTCTGTATGTTCTGAATGATGACGAGCTGTCAATCAGAGAGCTGTACTCCTCCAGAGCCTGAGAACACACAAACACACATGTATTATTGTGAAGTGATTAAGGTCATTAAAGATATTGTTGTTGACACTGACCTCAGCTGTGTTTTTTTGCCAGTCCAGGCGTCGAAGGGGGGCAGAGTCCAGTGCTGACAGGATGGACAGGTACGAGTTAAAGTTGTTCAGTTTCCGCAGGTGCTGCAGGGACAGAGACAAATGTTAAGTCCCTAATGTCCTTAATGAACAACAACTCTTTCAACAAACAGCTCCAAACACTCCAAAGAGCTTGTGAACAACAGTGGAGGTCTACGGCACAGAGCTGAGAATGGCATCACTGTGTACAGAATCACTAGTCTCTGCTCTGGTTCCTCCACCAGCTCCTCGCTGCACAGAACAACATGGTGGAGCGGGGTGTTGGAAACAGACAGGTCACGAGGGGGGGGGGGGCTAAGAGCTTGTGAACAACAGTGGAGGTCTACGGCACAGAGCAATAAGCTGGACCAGGGTCTGGACTCACACACATCACAGTAAGGACACCACATTCACTGGTGCTGCTGGTCGCTGGATGGGGTTGGTGGGGAATAACACAAATATATAGAGTCACTGGCTGTGTCCACTGATTGTATACAACTCCATAACAAGCTGACTGATTAATGCTGCTTCTGTCAACATGGTGTAAATTGAGCTTGATCGCATGGGAAGGCCACCCAGGCCTGCCCTCCACCTTTGCATTCACCTTCATGATTTTCAGGAACTTGAGCAGTAGTTTCTCTCTGTCCTGAGGTTTGTCCTGAAGGATGATGACTGAACGAACCCTAAACACACACACACAACACACATGCATGTAAGCTGATGTCTTGTTACTCATCACTTCAAAAAACTGTTCAGTAATGTTTTAAGAAACTGACTGAAGCTCTGTTCAGACTGGATAAACATCAGTGTCCCCCTGTCAGTCAGTCATGAAACCTCTGTTCATCATTTAGGACATTTTAACAGCAACAATAACAACAACACATGTAGCTCACTACATCTAAAATACCACCTGTAACTGTCAGATGTTCAGCAAACACACAGAGCAAGATGAAAATTACTGACTAGCAATAATATTAGAATCACCTAATATCCCCTAAAAAAATAAACATCATCTAAATGGAGTTTAAGCCTGAAAATAAAATGATTCACTGACTAGATTGGATCATATCTGTAGACAGAAGCAGAGTGGTAACAGTGGTATGTATCAGTGGGCTAAGTCAGTGTTTTACCAGAAGGAGACGTTGTTGAAATGTTGAGTGAATTCTGTGAGGTTAGGGCTCTTCTCCTCATTCTGCTCTTTAGACCACAGCAGCACCTCAGGAAGCTAGACAGGTGAGAGACAGACAGACAAACCAAACAGGTGAGAGACAGACGGATAAGACAGACCAGTAAGAAACAGACGGGTGAGAGATAGACAGGCAAGCCAAACAGGTGAGAGAAGGTGAGAGAGACAGAGGGGTGAGCCAGGTGAAATGAAAAGTTTGTACCTCGATCTTATAGAAGAGCTCAGCATCCAGCAGAGTCAGCTGTTCAGCTAAATCTTGACTCCTGAAGTCCAGAAGAGTTCCTGGTCTAAAGGACAAGTGGCGAGACAGGTGACAATCAGAAGGTGACCAATGACAGCCCAACATGTGGTGCCTCCATCTAATCAGGTTAAACAGGTTACCTAGCAGCCACACCCCTGGCTGAGAGGGGGCGGAGTGACTGTGGAGAACTAATGAGCTGCCACCTCTGTTCCATCTTGGCCAGGATGTTGGAGCGTAGCAAGTGAGCTAATCCCAGCTCTCCACCCATCAGGAGTCTGAAGACCAGGTCCATCAGCAGCAGCAGCAAATCAGAGTCCAGCTCTATTGCACTGCACACACATTATTCACATCTGTATTACATGGTGCAGAGATGGAAGGAGTATTTTGAAGAGCTGATGAAAGGAAAATGAGAGGGAAAGAAGGGGGGAAGAGGTGAATATTGTAATTGTTAATGGAGAAGTATAGAGATGGTCGAGAGGAGCTGCATTGTGTCTTTGTGGATTTAGAGAAAGCGTACGACAGAGTGCCGAGAGAGGAGCTATGGTACTGTATGAGGATGTCAGGAGTGGCAGAGAAGTACGTCAGAGTAGTTCAGGATATGTATGAGAGGAGTACAACAGTAGTGAGATGTGCTGTAGGTCAGACAGAGGAGTTCAAGGTGGAGGTGGGGCTACATCAAGGATCGGCTTTGAGTGTGTATGAACGAGAGGGAGGGAAGTGGAACAGTGAGGTTACAGGGGGCTGAGGTCAAGAAGGTGCAGGAGTTTAAGTATTTGGGGTCAACAGTCCA